CTGCTTCTCATTGGCAAAACATGAGGGTTTAAAAGAGGAAACAAAAAAGGCAAAAAGCAGAGCAGCATCTCTCACTAGACCTGAGTTGTTATTTATCTCACTGTAGTCACTGTGCATCAGGCTGAAAGAAGACTGAAAATCAGTTAGTAACCTCAGTTCTGTGTGAATGGCTATTTTACTTCACTTAAAAGTGATTGGATACGAAGTGTTTAGCCTGCATTTCTTTTTTGTGACTGCAAAAACCCTTAGCCTTACCTAACAGCTATAATATTAAACTGACTGATTGTAGCGTTGGATTTGGGTCTGAGTAACTTAAATTTTAAACAGATTTTGAAGAAAACTTCATTTACAAGGCTGAGGAAAATCAATTGAAAGTGACGTTGTTTAAGCCTTTTTGTATTCACCAGACTTGGTTCTTCCATTACCAAGTAAGTGGTAAAAACAAGTAAGCTCACTTGCTTGAGCTTCTACTTGTGGTCATTTGCTGAAATAGGGCAGAAATTTATACATTTCGCTTCCATATAAACTGGTTAATGAGCTGGCAAGTAAATGGCTTGATTAGACATGCACAGTAAGTATTTGAGTGGCTGAACACAGCCTGAAAAGAAATTTACTTTGAGGTAGCAGATGATGGGCCAAAAATCTATTCATCATCTCTGTAGTGTTAACAAGATGAAGCAAGGCATGAGAAGGGAGCTTTCATTCAGCCTTGGAATTGGATATTAAAATCTTGCTCAAGAAGGTCGAGCAACTGCCTGAAGTTTCTGAATATAATCTCTGAAACATCACTGACAGGATATTGGGGGGAAAAAAACTAACCAACCAAAAATAACCCAACCCCCCAAAAAGCCCACCTTGCTTGCTTTCTTGAAGGTATAAATACAGGACATTGATGCAAATAGTTTTTGCAGTCTCTTGACCAGCTCTCATGTCTGACCAAATAGGTATTTCTGCACTTCCTGTTCAGTGATTTTTTTTCTTTGTGAAAATATTCCTAAGAATTAAATTGAATAAATGGCAGAATTTATCAGTTTTAGCCAATTTATTTCAGTACAAATTCCTTATACAGTGGAGTGCTAAAGAAACTCAGTTATGTTAAATGCTGGTAAAAATGTAATTATGAAGAAAACGTAGTCATATGCAGGACCGTATAAGATGGTGTTTTAATCACTGGATTTTATGAAAAACTAGTTTCCAGAAATAGAAATAGGATAGTTTTTCTGAGTGCTCTAGTCAATGCCATATTGTGTCTTGAAGTGATCAGATGGCACCTTTCTAAAACTGTAGCTCAATAGTAGAAAACATTGGATTAAATTCTATTGTACCATTTTGAAACAGAATGGTCCATACGGGTCCATTTCTTTGCAGTTCATTTTACAGCTGTTACTATGGGGCTGGATCCCAGAGCATTTTCTGGGGATGTCTTACCAAGGATCTGCTTTTTAAGTAGTTTCTGTAGTTTCTTCCTCAGCAAAACTTCCAATTCCAGTTCCAGTGCCAACAAAGTTACAGCTTTGGTAGAAGATAGTTTTCTGTGGTGCATGTGCTTGCTAATTCATCTATAAAAAGCTTCTGCAAGGTATCCAGTGAAAAAAAAAAAACTTAACCAAGATCTCGTTAGAATTATTTGGTGTTCCAGCAACTTCTGTTGATAATATTTTTTACTTTTTTTCTTCTGTGAAAGAGGCAAAAAAACCCCTATTTTAAAAATAATTTTTTCCCTGCATGCATTTGGCACAGACACTGTGCCCTACTTGTCTTGGGTTGTCTTCCTGCTTTTGCATCAGTCAGCTGTGATTTTTTCCTTGAGCTTTGTGCCCAAGTCATTACTGCATCTATTATTGTTTTCCTGTTCTAAACACAGTGGTTGGCTGGTTAACTGTGCAGTTGTGAGCAAAAGCAGAGACAGATACTCCTTTGTCTTTCTGGTTGCAGAAATGCTGTGCATTTTCTTAAAATGATTTTAAACTAGAAGTCAGTCCCAGCCCTGTAGGGTCCTGCAGTCAAACAAACCACCATCAGACAGATGCATTCCTCTGTTTTCACCATCTCATTAAATCAGCTGCATCTGGGTAGTTCCAGCTGTGCAGAACCAGGGGAAATGATGTCTGAAACAGTGCAACTCCTGGCAAATACCCAGCTTACTCCAGAAAAAGAATTTTTTAAACTTGACAGTGAATGCAAATGTGACCTTGAGTTCTGGTGGTTGCTTCAGATTTTAGATGTTTGTAAGAGGGATATGTGTGGGTGAGGATTTCTGTATGGAAACTGTATTTACAACCATATGTGCAAAACTGAAAAGGCAACACAGTAAAGTTTGGAAGAGAGAGGGCATTAATGGCCTTCCTTCCCCATCCAGTCGAAATTATTATAGAAGGAGACAGCTTTTTATATTATGGTGCTTTAATCTCAGTTGTAGTTGGTGCACTTTTAGATTTATTTTTTTTTAGCATCTTGCATGCTTTTATTTCTAAGGATCTGTCCATTTTGATCAGAACTGTTGAAATAATTGTATATTTTGAATTTCTCTTCTGTGATTATTTGGCAATAAGTCAAAGGGGAGGTTAGTTGCACGGGGTTCTTTAACTTAGAGTAGCTGATCTTAAAGCCATCAGTCCTGTCAGATTTGAAGACAACCCTGTAAATTTTAATTACTTGCTCTCTGAACATTTGAATTTCGTTATTGACAAGTCATTTTCAAGACCCTGACACTAAACCTACTGTCAGTGAATTTCCTCATCTTTCAGGTTAGCTTTTTTAAAGGATGGTTTCTTTTTGCTAAGTTCCTGGGCTAAAAAAGGGATCATTTTTTTGTTTGGCCACATTTTCTTAAGCTTTCTTCCCATTCTTTGTCAAGGTTCTGTGTATTTGCAGTATTAATGAAAATATCAGGCAGTCACTGGAGTTCTGTGTTAGTGAGGTGAGTGTAACCTCCACTTCTGGCTATACTGGTGTGATGTTCCAGCATCCTCCACCTCAGCCATCCTTTCTTTTCATGTAGCTGGGGATGCCTAGAAGTTAATTTTTGTTCTTGCAGTCATTGTATATAAATTAATAGCATTATTTGTATTAAATATATGGAATTTTATATTAACTGTAAAGTGATAGCCAGTGGTTACATCATCATCAGAAACAATAGTGTAGCCAGTTAAAACCCTAAATGGAGTTTTCAGGGGCACACAGATTGGTCTGTCATCTAAAGACATCCAAAAGCAGAGATTGAGGGGCCTGTTTGAAATACAGTAACTGACAATCCAGTGAGCATTTAATTAAGGTGAATTTTGTTTGTTTGTGGGTTTGTTTTTTTTTTTTTAACTCAAATAGTTAGGTGAGTGAAACAGGCATGTTTAATGAAAGAGGAAGTACAGTGGGTGCTGCAACTTTAAAAAAGAAATTCAGATTTTGCTATTTCTTAAATGTTCCGTGTATAGAATAAAATGTATTTCATTTTACACTTTCCCTTTTCCCTTCAAGTAGTTGTAGTTCAGTGCTTACCTCATCCCTCACTTGAATTAACTTTAGATTTCTTGTTGCTTGGAGTTGGCTTAAAGGACTTTATAATGCCATGCAAAATAATTTTGTCTTAAATTGACATTACAGAGTACTCTTGCACAACTAAATCCAAACATCTGTTTTTGAATCTGACAAAATACCCCTTCCAATGCTTGGGTTTTCTTTTCCTCCCTGCAGATTGAAAATGTGATAGTACTGGGATTATTTAGAGCCAGAGAATCAAATTTCAGTGGATTAGAATGCTGAACATATTATTCTTTACCCTGTTGCTGATATTTATCAATTCACTAATCTAAACATTACCAAGGTTTTAAGTGAGTTGTTAGAGTCAAAGTTTGAAGGAATAATTTGCCTTCAACGATGTTTGCAAATACTCTTGAGTGCCTTGATGACTGTTTGGTTTTTCTATGGGAGGTGGGGACAGTAGCCAGGACTTACGTTTTAGAAAGAAGAAACTCTGAGATAGAGCATGACAGGAAGAAGAGAGAGAGGGATGTAAACACACTTGTTTAGGTTTGCCGAGTATCTCTGTGCCTCAGCAATAGCTCAGGCAGTCGTAAATCCGAGCTGTTTTGTAAGCAGACCATGTACTGATTCCTGTAAGGATGCGTGCATTGAGGGAATTTTGCATGGCTGGCAGACTACAGAGAAGCAAAATACACATTGGTAACAGTTTTTACAATTCCTAGATTAATCAGTCAGGAATGCAAATGAGTTCTTGAAAGAAGTTACAGTAAATTATTTTATGTAAAATTTACTTCATTAGTATTTTAACCTGACAGAGGGGAGGTGGATAACCGCAGTTATATCACATCACTGCTAAATATTTTTCTCCCAGTCAATTTATTTATAAACTCCCAGAGATGAAATTGCTACTGATTTAATCAGGGGGAAAAAAGTGCACCTTTCTGTTTTTCTCAACATAGCTGTCTCTGTATGTTTATGTATATGTAACTAATATTTAAAGTAAATATCTTTAAAAGTTTTTATAAGCTGTGGAAACATTAAAACATTAATTGGTCATATTTATAGATTACTTTGACTTCTCCATATCTGTATAAATTACATTAGATTGTGGCTTATTAGATAAGCCTTAGTGTTTTTAAACAGTATTCAAAAATATTTTTGCAAATTTGCCATTCGGTAGTGTCATGTGAAATAACTGCCTTTTTCTCAAAGGATGACTGGGAGGTTCAGCCAAGTTAGGTACAATGTCTGTATTCTCAGAAATTTCATGTTTACATGATAGCCCGAAGGCAAATTCACTTTTTTGTACAATTTCTAAAAACTATGTAATTAAGAGTCCTTTGAGCGCAACTCTTGATTTCTAGCAGAGTGGAAATTGCATATAAAACGCATGGCCTCTCAATTTTTTTGTTTGTTTAAACCTTCCCCTACTTAGAGTTAATTGCTAGAGGCATCTCAGTGTCTGTCCCCTCGACCCTGGGCTCAGTGAAGGCCGTTTTTCTCCCCGTTCTTTCATGCAGGTCAGCACCCAGAACATGAAGATGGGTGGGCTGCCTCGCACAACACCACCCACCCAGAAGCCACCAAGTCCACCGATGTCAGGAAAAGGAACTATTGGGTAAGTGCAGTTACTGGGTAGGTGAACAGAACTACTTTTTCTGTAGTGGGAGAGGTTTCGTGGTTTTATTTTAACCATTCACAAAGGCCAAGAGGTGTTGAATCTGAATCCTCTTATATTGAACATGTCATTGTGTATTAGTGTGCTGCTGCCAGAAGACGGTGGGCATCATCAGCCTTTCCCTACAGGAACCTTTTTCTCAGTGCAGAACATTTACATACTTCAGAGAAAAATGTCATTAGATGTGGCTTTTGCAGGTGGTGCTAAACAACTGAAAAACGAGGACATGGCATTGTTTATTAATTATTTGTGCTGAGCTTGATGAAAGTACTTACCTGCAAAGTTTATGAACCCGATTTTGGCCTTAGGAAAATGTGTTACAAGTGTCAAGAATGCTGTTTGCTGGTGTATGATTATGTATATGCATACAGAACATGGTGCTTTATTTTTATGCAAGATAATGGCTTGCCTTTAAAACAAGAATGGGATGTACAGCACAGAGTTTACTGATAGGAAAGCTGAAGTACCTGAAGAACATCCTTAATTATTTTTTTCCCCTCATCCTATAAAATAAGTACTGCAAAGTTCTAGAAAAGGTCCACTGTTGAACCTCCCTTTCCTGATGAGCGTGTAGCTGTCTTTCAGAGTGAGAAGTGTCTGGTTTTGTGTGCTGTCCTAACTCGCTGCTGCTGTGTGCTTGTGCCGTGCAGGCGGCACTCCCCGTACCGCACGCTGGAGCCGGTGCGGCCCCCGGTGGTGCCCAACGATTACGTGCCCAGCCCGACGCGCACCATGGCCCCGGCCCAGCAGAGCCCCGTCAGAACGGCCTCGGTCAATCAGCGCAACCGCACATACAGGTACCGGCCCCGCCTGCTGCGGGCACAACCCGCTGGGCTACACAGCAAATCACCTGCACTGCCTCATCCCATGGACTGGCAGGCTCATGGGCCTGATGAGAGTGAGCACTAAGGAAACCAGAACAGGGAATGATGTGAACATTGTTCACTTAATCCCCTGTTCACCTCAGTTTTAGTGCTGTCACTTAGAGTACTTAATGAATTACTAAGACTGTGAACTCTTTCAAGGAAGAAGGTGTCTTTCATGATAGTATTTTACCTAAATGATTACCAAACTGGGAGAAGACTTTGTACACAACTTGCCTTCTACATGTTGAAGGGCTGCTTCGATGCTTACACTAGACATTTTTGAACCGTCTTTGATGTTTATAGATTGAATAGCTGAAATTGTAGCATAATGTTTTGGGGATATTAATAACTTCAAACATAAAATAAAGCTAATCTGCATTACCAGAGTCTTCTGCAGAAGACTAGCTTTTTCTCTAGGATAATTAGTTTCATTATGTGATAGATCTAAATACTTTCCTTGAAGTCTTTACTTTTTAAACATAATGAGTACTTGAGAATGGCTAAACAAGTGGACTTAAAAAATAAGAAATCTGAATTTTACTATCTTACAACTTTTGGGCTTTAGCAGTCTCATATGAAAGCATACGAATCACAGCCTAAGCACTCTGTAAGTTTTAAAGTTATTAAAAAAAGGTCTGTATTTGCTCTGTAGGGGCTTAAGAGCCCTGTAATGACGTGCTTTGAACAAGGTTCTGGAAGTGTTTCATTTTTGGGCAAGTTCACTAAGGCTGACTTACTGAGAAAAAAACCTCTTGTGTTGTAGTCAAAGTGGAGAGTTGCAGGAAAGCCCAGCTTTGTATAGGTTTATATCATCCTTGCTTCTTTTCTCTTGTTCCCTGTTACCTCTCTGATTTTGTAAAATGGTCTGTGAGGGATCTTGTGTTTCAGCATGAGCAGCAGCTTAATCATACCCCGGTTACTTTGGTTTCTTACAGCAGCAGTGGCAGTAGTGGAGGAAGCCACCCAAGTAGTCGGAGCAGCAGTCGAGAGAACAGTGGAAGTGGAAGTGTCGGTGTTCCCATTGCTGTTCCCACACCATCTCCTCCTAGTGTCTATCCAGGTAAATGGAAACTTCTTGTCCTTTTTCCCTCACTTTTAACCTTGAGCATTTGCAGTTTCCTAAACTCCAAGGGAAGGAAGCCCAGAGTTCATTGCTATTGATAATATGAATTCGAATCAAGTAGTATCTTCTCTGAGAGTGTTGATGTGTTGTAATGTTCCTTTTATGTATTAATTTGTTTATCAGAATTTTTTGCCTGGCTGCCTTCATGTGACGAGGTATGACACAGCACCTTTTTTCGGTGGGCTGAGGGACACTTCTCTCTTGTCCTTTTAAATGAATAAATATTTTTTCATTGGCTGCTTATGCAGATACATAGAAGCATGTTTTTAGAAAATCAGATTGAATGAGAGGCAGGGACAGAGTAAATCTTGAGTACATCAATGCAAGCCTGAATTGTCACAAAGAGGTACTTGCTCCATGTAATGGCCCCAGACTCCCCAGAAGTAGGAAGTGTTATTAGTACTTTTTCTTTTGCTCAGCCTTTTTCTGTGAAGAAAAGCCTGTAGTTGGCTTGCAGAAAAATACATGATTCTTCTGAAACAAAGCTGGACATTTTTTTGTTTCCTCTTTATATTTTCTAATTCATACAAAAGCTAAAGACAGCTATGCTAGAGATTGGAGAATAAATAACACAATGCAAAGACATCTTTCAAGAGTAATGGCTTTCACTGAAAACTTTTGTGGTGTGTTCCCTTCAGACGTGGAAAGAAGTGGATTTGCTTGACCCTCATTTACCATCTACACGGGAATGAGCCTTTCTTTTAACAGATTCATTGTTTTCTCATCTCGTGCATTCTGAAATACTGTGCAGCTAATAAATAGCTAACACTGAATAGTCAGAGGCTTTCTCTAATCCTTGCTAACATATCTCCTTATTAACTCCACCTCTTCCTCCTCTCTTCACATAGCCCCTGCTGGCTCAGCTGGCACTTCTCCCCTTCCTGCTACCTCTGCTCCTGCCCCCACTCCTCCTGCTCCTCCTGCCCCTTCCTCTGCTGCCCCAGATGCTGCTGCTGCTGCAGGAGCTCAGCCCCTTGCTGATGGCTTCACCTCTCCAACTCCCCCTGCTGTTTCTTCCACACCCTCTGCAGGTGAGTGTCTGCTCCAGCTGCTGGGCAGATGAACCCAGATGTGAGCATGATCCAAGGATTTGCAAAGTTACCTTGGCAGCAGTGATTCATAATTTTAAAATAAGTTTAACTAGAAAATATCTGCTAATACCCAACTATAAGGTCAAGGTTATTGTAGACAATTCAAGGTGTGCTGATTTTATTAACAGCAATAATTTTATAGTTTTATTTTTACATTTATATAATTTTCTAAATCATAATTTTATTTCTGTTTATAGAATACTGAGAACCTCATAGAATAATTATGTTTGGCCCGAACCAGCACTGATAGTTCTGGGTCTTACTATTCTCTTTCATAAATGCAATTTTAAAAAGTGTATCTAGCAAAGTATAATTTATGTAACTGGTTTCTTCAATACTGTCAAATGACAAGTCTCCCTTTAATGAAATGATGAAAAGAGCAGAGTTTTTGTGTCCAGTATTAGGTAAAATACAAATTTTTATTGTGCAGACTATTATTAAAGCATTTTAATATGTGGTATTTAGGGTGTATATTGCAACTTTCTTTTTTTAGTGCTACACTTTTCATTTTCTCATGTGCTGAAGTTGCAGTGTGTAGCACTTACTGACCATAACACTGTCCTGTATCACCTTTTGCTGAGGAGATTGCAGTGTAAATACCTCCTTTAGACAGCCAAGTTCATGTGTAGCTATCTGCATGCTTTGATGCTTTACATTGTGGTGGAGGCTGCTTACAAGGATGGGAGTTGGTTTGTGTGTTTATTTATTATTGTGTGTTCATCTCTTACTAAAAATTGCACCAGGTTCCAGAAGCATTCTTGAAATTGCATGTAGTTTAAGGGGCTGTGGCTGATACAAAATTAGAGGATATTTACACTAGAATCCATACTGTGACCAGAAGTTTCTAAAGTGTGATGAATTTTGCTCTCAGAAGGTGATGCTGATGTCTAAACTACATTCATGAAAATGTGCTGTGGCATATGGGGCCTCAATCAGTTTTCCATTTTTGATGCACTGTCAATATCCCAGTTCTTAAGCCGTGTTGGTTCTCTATTTTTAACAAGTCAAAATCAAGCAATGATTAATATTTTAATGGCTGTAAATTCTCTTTCACAATTTTGTAAGTGAAATTTCATGTTAGTTGCTATTTTTAAGATCTTTTGTTTCCCTGCTTTATTAGTGAGATTGGTTATATAGCTTCTCTAAAATAAAGTATTAGAAGAGACTGGAGAGGTCACCACTTATGACATCATGTCTTTTGGTCCTTAAAAACCTCTTAGCCCTCTATCCTCCCTTCTCTCCAGTCACCACCAATTTCTCTAAGTACATTTGGTAACAGAGAGAGACACACACATTTGGAAGACACATCAGGAAAAATGGGGGAAAGCCTTTAGAGAATGGATTTTCTCTTAGCTGTTTCTTATCTGTAAAAAGTGCCTTTTTTTATATGGTACACTGCATTATTGGTACAAAGCAGAGGGAATGTGACACTGTAGTTCATGTATTTGCTCTTACAAGCAAGTAACAGAACAAGCAACTTGTATTAACTGACCTAGTACAAAGTTGTGCAAAGCAAGCAAAACATAATGAAGAACAATGCAGGTTTTTAAAAATTTGTACCTTCTTTTGTTCTCTTTCTGTATTTACGTCTCTCTTCAGCCACCCATCCCTTGACCATCCCTTCTTCCCTTGTTTTCTTGCAAACTCTCAAATTTGCTTCTAGGACAAATGGTAGAGGCAGAATAGTTTGTGGGGTGTAATAACACATATGGGAATAATAAATCCAGCTTACTGTTATATACAGAATAAAATCCAGAGAATTTTATGTGAGTACAGAAGATGCCTTGCTCCATTTATTGGTTGCTGGGATTCACGATCAATATCTTGAATACAGGAAGTAATGAAAATACAGAGCAAGTTTTTGAGCAGTTGTTTTAATTGACATCTCCCTTGAAGAGAGTATTTTAGTTTGACTTCATTTATTCCATCCTTCAAGCAGTTTCTAACATTCTCTTCTCCCCAGATGATTCTCTGAATATCTTCTAAATGGCACTAAGATAGGTAGTATTGTGTTTTTCAGTCACAGAAGATAGCAGCTTTGAATCCTGGAAATGGCCTGCCATTATTTTTTACATGTATGTTCTTTAATTGTGGAACTGTGACATTTTGGGGAATTTTTGGCAGGTTTAGAAGTAACTAAATTCACAAGAAGTTATTGTAATACATTATTTTAAATAGATAACCAGATATTATTTTCTTTAATTTTGAAGATTCGTAGCTTAAATACTTTTGTATTCTTCTGCTGGCTTTTGTAGGCAGTGCTGAGTGCAGGCAGTTGGGAGAGTTATGTTATGTTTTGCATTGCTCTTGAGACATTTGGTGTCCTGCCAGTCTGGCAGCTGAAGTGGCTGACTCCTCCTAGGATGCAGACTGTCTTAAAATAAAGAGCAAGAAACCTTTCCAAAGCTTTGAAATTGAATGCAGGTAGAGAGAAGGCAGGCATCATTCTTCTCATTGCTGATGCATTGCTCTGTCTGCCCTAGGTCACCCAGTTCAGTTCTACAGCATGAACAGGCCAGCAGCTCGGCACACGCCCCCCACCATCGGGGGGTCTTTGCCCTATCGGCGGCCTCCTTCCATCACATCACAGACGAGCCTTCAGAACCAGATGAACGGGGGCCCCTTCTACAACCAGAACCCAGGTAAGAAGGTTTGACTGCTCCACTGAACTCAGCAGTGGTGAACACAGTGGTGACCTTCAGGTCTCTGAAATTTTATGTTCTGTCTCCGTTGCAGATCTTGCACTTTCACTATGTTGCTGGTAGCTGTGCCAAAGCTGCAGTGAAAGTGCAGAATGTTCAGCTTCCATTATGGCAAGCATCTTAAAAAATGCTGGCTTTGTTGCCAAATAATTTACTTTTGATGTCACAGTCCCTATCAGACAAGCTTTAGTCCTTGACTACACCATGTGTCATGGTGCTTTCGTGTGGGATGGGTATTTGATTTTGCACCAGAACGCTGATTCTTCATTAATCAGTCTTTATCTTGTGTGCTTTTTCCTTCTGGGTAATTTTCAGTTCAAGCTGTTGTACTTGTCACACAGCATTAGACACCTTGGAGACACCAGTGGTGTTTGGGTGTGAGGGAGCTGTGTCATCTAAGCCCACAAGTTGTTCTATGGGTGATCTGCTTTACAAAGCAAGAGCAGACCTTACCAGAGAGTGAGTGTCCTGTGTGTCAGCATACCACAGTAGCCTTTTACCTAAGGCTACTCCTTCCTGTGCTTCTGATGGGACAGTGGAGGGTTTTATACCAGACTAGGGGAGAGTTTCTCTTATGACAAAGCTACAGGAGGATGCAGGGGACATGCTGAAGGTTTCTTGTCAGGAAATTCCCTAATACCAGCAAGATAGAGTGTTGACTTGCAATTACTACAGTATATTGGGGTTTTGTGGTGGGATTTGAAGGGGGTGTGTGTGTTGCTTGGTTGCTTTTGGGTTGTGTTTTGTTTTTTTTGGTTTTTTTTTGTTTGTTTGTTTTTTTTTTTTGTTTGTTTTTTGTTTGGGTTGGTTGGTGTTTGTTTGGTGTGGTTTTTTTAAATTGAGCATTGAACTTGGAATTAGGTCAAATGCTGCAATCTGCATTTAAGGGATTTGATCAGGTTTGGCTGTTACTGTTTGTGAGATACCCTGCAGGGTGAGGTGTATTCTGAGCTTGAGATGGAAGTGAATGGTCCTGCTGGGCACAGGGAAGTGGAGGAGGCTGTAGGGCTAAATTGTAGCCCAGTTGCCTGAAATAGGTCACATTTTCTAATCACATTATATGCATGTTTAATGCTGAAGGGGGGAATAGGCAAGAAGGAAAGGGTAATAGCAGCAAAAGAAACCTTTCAGAACTACAATAAAGCAATTTTTGCAATAAAGACGATTTTCAGTACATCCAGAAAGTTTCTGATGACTGCTGTGCATCTTTTGCTTTAGCAAAGGGGTAATTCTCTGCAAGCTGCCATTGTGTTGTTAATAGGTAATCATAGAAGATGCCAAATAGACTTAAAATAAATTGCATAACCACAGTTTGAGTCTGTGTATCCAGAAAGAAGGTAATGATTATGGTGATTAGTTATTTGAACTGTAAATCACAAACAAAATACTTCAGTTATACTGGCATATCTGAAACAATATGAATAAGCAGTTGTAGTAAGAGACTTTTTTGGATATACGAGCACAATACAGAATATATTAGCTTTGCAGTTACACTAAACGAGGTTTTTTTGGAGTTCACCTTGAAAGGAGAGGATGCTCAAGCATGCATAATTGATGAAAGCCTTAAGAGCAGAGGCACTGATGTGTTTGGAAGGGGCAGGTTTAGTAATGATGGGACAGAGGCCATGATTTTTTCTCAGCATTCCTGAAGAGAGGCAGAAAACAAGAGAAGAGAGACCTTACAAGAGGCACAGGAGGGTGCCAGCTATGGCTTTTTTGTTTGTAGGCTATTTGTTATTTCCATTGCCATTTTTTAAAATGGTGGCATAGTCATGTTTGTTTATTTACTTGACAGGAGGATGAAAGGTACTTGCATTGCCCTGTTCTGTTAAATGCCACTTTAAGATAATACAATTTTTCTGCTTCATGACCTTTTTAACAACTAAAAAGAAAATATTAAGAAATGTAGACTAAGTGAGCTTAGCATGTCTGTCCCAAAGCCACTCTTGCCAGCCAGGCCACCAGACAAGTGCTGTAACCTTGCAACTTGGCTATCATTATCTAAGCAACATAGAGCTCAGCACAGGCTAAAAACCATGTGGGAGAATCTGGGCAGGTATTGAGGTGCTGCTTGCACCCCACCATTTGTACAGCTGAATTCTTACCAGTCTGAAGCAGCCTTGTGGAAGATGCTCTTGAGCATTTCTGAATTAATTTACAGCAACTGTGTATTAAATCTATCAGTGGTCAGTGTGGAAGGAAAATGGGACAGAACATTTAAGATTGTGTTTATACAGCAGAGGTAAAGTGTAATAAATTATAATAAAATTTAATAAAATAATTAGTAGTAAAATATTTATTGTATTGCCTCATAAAGTCAAAACTAGAGTCATTACATAGCATATAGAGGCAATATTATGATAGTCACAGTGCAAAGACTGAGGGGTTAAGAAACACAAGGAATAATGTCAGCTAGTGTTAGCATCACCATTGTGATTAAACTGCACAACCCAAACTGAACCTGGGATTTTTTTTTGTATTTGCTTGGTGTGCTTGTCTAGAGTGATCTATTTTTCTCCATGGAAAGCCTTGTTATTTCTTTCAAAGAAGTATATATAGCTCATGAACAAAATACACTGAAGAGACTAAGGAGACTGGGGCTACTCTCCTGTGATAGGTATGGATTGTATGAATCCATATGATGTTGAAAAGAGGAATCATTTTGAAATGAAACACTTTTGTAGCATACATAATTGAAAAAGCAGAGACAAATATGCTGAATTATTGAATATTACTGCTTTTCAGTAGGACTTTAAATTCGAGTTCCCTTTTTGTGCTTTGAAGAAATGCAAGACCAAATCTTTTCACAGCAATCATGGTTACACTTGAAGGAATAAATACTCTGAGGTCACATCATCTGAGTCAAAGAAACTGTTATCAGAAATGTATTTCAGTTTTTTCTCAAGAGATATCAATTAAATGGTGAGACAATGGAACTTAATTTATATGGAGGTACAAGATTTTTTTGCAACAAAAAGGATAGTTGCTGTTAGTCTTTTCATTTATGGTGTGTGGTTCTGAAAGTAATGTGAATGTAAATGACAGAAGGAATTCAAAGCACTTAAGATAGTTGTTACTGGAATAAGCAAACAGAAGAAATTTTGATATACAAGTTGTAAATGCTGCAGAACTCTTTTCTCTTGCTATGATAATGTGAATTCATTCTGAAAAATGCTACGTCATACCTGTCAGTTTTCTTACTACCTTTGGAATTAGCCTGAAATTAATTTTGTTCTCTCTGGTAGCTAAATAAATGTACTGGTACATGAAGTATAGACTTTTTTTCCCCCTTAATCCCTTTAGACATGATTAAATGTTTTTTGTATGCCACATACTAACAAGAAATTTATTATTTGTGCTTCTCCTAAGGTGTGCTGTCTGAAAAATCATCTTGCAATTTGACTAAAGAATTTTGCTGCATTATTCAAAGAGATACTAAACTCACATAAAACTAGCTAGCTGATTTTTTTAACTAGAGAACTGAAACTCACATTAGAGACTTAAAGCACAGTTCAGTGTTACAGCATTTGCAACTGGCTGAGAGCATCTTCTTTAACTGTGAATTCACATATATTGTACAAAGGCAGTTCTTATTGTACAAAGAGAGCTCTTCTGGTACCAGTGAAAGGGCTGTTCAGAATTCAGGGCAGTGAAGTCAGGTGGGGAGGAAACCAGGCAGCACATCTGGAATAGGCCCTGTGGTTTGGCAGCGGCACAGTGTGCTCTGTTCTGTCAATAAGATCAGAAGTGTTATGTCTTTCAGATCTACACAGTTCTCAAAAGGCATCTTTTTCTGTTTTGTCTAAAATAGCTGCCTCATTCAGTGAGGTTTTTTTTGGCCTACATCTTTGAAAAAAAAAGAGGTGTATCCATTTTCATGACTAGGGATTCATGGATGCTTTTAGTCACCTCTATAAATATCAATTAGATTTGAAAGGGGGAGAATTATAGGCAGAGTCCTCTTGGTATATTTATTAGCTAGGTCTGTTCATAAAGTGCTGTAATCTGTAGTAAGAAACTTCATCTTAGGGAAATCTCAGTCAAATCAGAAAAATACTTCAGCATGGATTCTTAATGTTATGAAAAAGAGCTAGGTTGGAAATTTTAAAAATAGAGAAATATCCTTGAAGAAGAGATTAGTAATATGCTTAGACCACCTGAGCCATTTTTCTTTAAATGTCAGTCTCTTTATCTCAGCTTCTTGGCAGCCTGCTGCACTGTCTGAGTGGTGATGATTGTCTACTTTCCTGTTTGCTGCTTTGTTGTGTTTCTAACTGGGTGCCTCTCTTTTTAATTTCTGTGGCAGCATCCCTTGCTCCTCCTCCCCCCTCCATCCTACAGGTAACTCCACAGTTACCACTAATGGGATTTGTGGCCAGAGTTCAAGAAAACAGTAAGTTTGCTGCTTCCTTGTGCTGTTTTATTACTGGTCGTGGCTTTTGGATTGAGTTGATAAAAGATGTCTCTATATAGCCAGAATCTGCATTCTCTACTGCCTCTGCAAGTTCGTCTGAAAATTGTGAAGGGTGGGAAAAGGAAATAAGCATATTGTGGAGGTATCTGATCCTTCCTTCTCTGGATTTTCCTGTCTCTAGTGTATTTTCACAAGTTATAACTGTTGGTCCCACTGCAATTAATTGGGATAGAGAATATTACTTGAAGCAGCTACCATGGTTGTAGAGACATTTTCGTGGTTGTACTGGTAGTTATTTTCAGTTTCAGATACTCCTCCCCCACCACCGCCTGTGGACGAGGCAGTGTTCGACGAGTCTCCACCTCCACCCCCACCTCCAGAGGATTATGAGGAAGAGGAAGCAGCTGTGGTGGAGTACAGTGATCCCTATGCTGAGGAGGACCCTCCCTGGGCACCTAGGACATACTTAGAAAAGGGTAGGTTTGGAGCTACAAGAGACAGTAGGGTTATTTTTGTAACAACTTTTTGTATGTGCTCCTGCCATCCTGCTTTTGGACATGGACTCTGCATAGACTCCTTCATACCAGTATTTGGTATTTCAGCATTTTAGTCAGTAGCAAAAGAGAAAGAGGTCCTGATGTGTGTTTATAGTGTCTCATACTAATGCAAAGAGGGGGTGTGCACGTGCCTTGAGAAATAACTTTCTATTTGAGGAAATAATGATATTTGAATGATAGTTCTGTTCTGCTTTCCTGTGGGACTATATGAGCTTGGGAACTAAAATAGGTTATATAGGTGCATATATGCACAGATCTGTTCCATCTCCCGTGAGACAGCAAAACTGTAAAGGGGAGTCTTTAAAGATAAGCTGGAGAAAGTCAGACTTCTAGTCAGAAAATGTCTTATGTGGAGAATAGAAGTAAAAGAAGCCAAACATTGTCTTATTGGTGTAGAGATCCATGCAAAAACATAATTTTGATCTGTATTTTAAAAACTAGATGACCAAAACATCTAAAAGGTTGGCCTGTTTTTAGAAACACTCTTAAAAGCAATAGAAAATACAATTGCTTTCAGTGTATTAGGAACTATAAAATAGTAGTTTTAGGATACCAGGAAACAATGAGATACTGACAAAGGTGTGGATTCTGTTGTAGTTGCTCTACTCAGCCAATGTCTTGAGATCTGACTGCTTTGCTGGAGCTGGGAGAGGAGTGCCTGGCTGTGAGTTTTTTGTAGCAAGCTTTGAAGCTTTAAAATTAATGAGAAATCTTTTACTAAAAGAGGACTTTAATACTCTAAGAATGTGTTACTTATACTGCTGGGAGTTATAATGCTTTATTCAGCAAAATAATTTATCTTTTGGCAATTCCTTAAGTTCCTATAAACAGTATTCCGTGCCACATGATTCAAAGTGGCCAAAACAGATGAAAGTACATAGCTCTTCCAACACATTTACCCCCAGTAAGTAGAATTCTCAATTCTTAGGATTTGTACTTGTACTTTTAATATTACCATTCTCTTATTTAAGGTCATATGAGAGCACTTTTATAGGGTTAGGGTAGATGACCTTTGCAATAGAAGCTGGGACACAGAGGATTGCTGTATATTGGAATGGGATTCACTATGACCCCTTTCTGTAGAGGGTCAGGCACTGTGAGAGGTACCTTTAACATTAAGATATGCTCTAGCCTGCAGCTGAGGATGGAAGTGAGCAGTAGATCCATTTGGAACAGATGGAGAAATGGTTAAGTAGGATATAGTTACTGAGGATGCTGAACTTGAGGACACTGCCATGTGACTGTAGTAACAACAGCCAACCTGCAGTGTCCAGGGATGTGCACTGCAGTTTTCCATTGAGATCTGTGTCTGGATATGTGGCAGGAAAAGATAAGAAAATGACCTGGCTCTGCAAATCAGATAAATGGAAATAGGCATCCAGAAGGAAAAATTGCACTTACACCACTTAGAGAAAGTGTGTGTTCACAGATTCCAGTTGGATAATCAGCCTAGCCTGCTTTTGTGGTCAGTTGTATATAAGAGAGTTCAGCCAAACTCTGTGTAATTGTTGAAGAACCAAAGATCACTGATTGGAAGAATATCAACCTAAATGAGTAATTCTGTTTTTCATAACTGCATTGAAACATATTCAGAAACTAAGAGAGGCCCTGGCTCAGGCTGACAGGGAAGGATGCCACCTCCTGAGTCAGTATTGCTGCTTCCTGTCTCATCTGGAGCCTTTCTTGCAATACTGGCCTGGACTCTCATAACTCGGGGCATGTGACAAGCTCACAGCTTGAACTGGTGGGACTACAGAGAGAAGGATTAAACAGCCTTTTAGAGAGAGGACTGTTGCCAGTACACAAATAACATGCTGGAGGAAGCAGTGGTGACATAAAAACAAAACCAGGCTTCAGGTAAATTTTATGAGGCTTAACAAGAAACAAATTTTCTTCACAAACTGAAGAGCTTCCTTCTTGAGAATCTGAAATAATTAATCTAGTCCATATCCAAAGGGACTAAAGTACATTCAAAAGTTAGAAAGAAAGGAATTGGCAGTTACTGTGATCTTTGGATGATGATGATGATTATTATTAGTGTCATCAAGAGAATGAAGAAAAATAGCACAGTGACTCTAGGAAGACATTTCAAAACCCTTAGGAAGGAATTTTTAAGGACTTAAATGGCATGCATCACGTGTTCATACACTTATTTTTCAAGCTAAAAATGTACTTGTTTCTCCATTGGTGTTTTATTTGCTTCGAATTTTATATCTAAAACTGTACAGAATAAGTTACTTAACAACTGTTGGCGCAATTGTAGAGCTAACAACATGTGTTTTTAAAATATGCTCAAGTCACATGATAAAAAAAATTCTGTGTGCACTCTGATTTTCCACTGGGATTGATCTGTAAATTTTATAGTCTCTTCTGGATCCAGGTTTCCCTAGTGTTGGTTTGTGTTGATTCCTTTGCTCCCTCAAAAGGAAAAGACCTCTTTTCTTTTGAAAAGAATGATGAGTTTACTAGGACTCTTGGACAGTGGATTTATGAACACATGCTGTTAATTTTTAATCCTTTATTTAGTTTAGAGTATCCTTCTATCTATCCCCAGTACAAGATTTTAGGATCCCTGTCCAACACTTTTTTTTTCCTTAGTGGCAGCACTGCATGTTTCATTACCAAGTGCTCAAAGCAGTGATTGATGAGATTTGTTAAAGTACTCAGAGTCTGGCATAACTAACTTTCTCTATGAAACACATAATGATAGCACCAAGATTGGAAAAATTGTATCCATTTGATGTCTATTTTCTGTCATTTCAAGACTCTTCTGTCTGAAATATTTCCAGTATTTCCAAGTGCTTTGTCCAATTTTTTTGCCTTTCCTACCAACTTTTGTGCCATCAGTAAAATATCCTACAACTGTAAGAAAAATGTCCTGATACCGCATGTGTACATTTCCACCTTCCTTCTTCTTGGTCCTAGCAGGGATTTGTCCACCTTGATGCTGTGTGCCCTGGGAGTGGCTTCTGGATATTGAGATGCACGTGCACCTTTTAGAGATTTAAATGTGGAAGTAGTAGTAGTAAGGTAGATGGAAGTCTGGGGCATCAGCTTTGACTCATTCATACTGTGGCCTGAAGAGAGCTCTTGCTGCAGTCCCTCTTCCATGTTTTCCTGTTCTTAGCTGTGCTGAGGTCTGGTTTAGCACATGTAGGAATAGTTCTGAGTGGTCATAGCCTTGGGGGATTCATAACCACCTAGTTGTATCATTCCACACCTAAAGTAGATCATACAGTTGGATACTTAAACTCTGGTGGATCTGGAAATAGTAGGAAAAGAAGAGTTAAAGGAGTCCTGGCTCATGTGCTTCAAAGCATGAGCATGTACAAAAGGGGGTGGAAGAAACTCAGCAGGTCATTCTGCACACACACAGCTGAAACAGTGCCTGGATGAGGGAGGGTGATTGGATTTTCATCCTCCTCCCCTACCTCTCCTAATAGTCACATTCTGTTCTTTCCTAGTGGTGGCAATCTATGACTACACCAAGGATAAGGAAGATGAGCTCTCATTTCAGGAAGGTGCCATCATTTACGTCATCAAGAAAAATGATGATGGCTGGTATGAGGGAGTCATGAACGGAGTGACGGGGCTGTTCCCAGGGAACTATGTGGAGTCCATCATGCATTACTCTGAGTGAAGACAGAGGACACAACACTGCATCTCCTGCTGCAGGAGCTGTCAGGGCTTCCCAGATCTCCACCAGCCTCTGCGGCCCCATCCAGTATAACTGAATGAAGGATAATTGTAACAACCACTCTTTTGGGTTTGGTTTGGTTTTTTTTTCCTTTTCCCCCTCATGATAAGACAATAGTGATTTGAGTTGTTTGGACAAATGGCTCTTCAGCTGTCAGCAGAGGCTATCCTGAGCTATCAGACTTTGAATTAAGCTGACCCATTCAGATGTAACAAACTTGTTGATTAGCTCATACTTCACTCAAATTCTGACTTCTGACAGGTCTTGGGATCTGTCTTAGGAATCCTGTGTGCCCTCATGGTACTATCGTTGGAAGCAGTTCCTGGCACTGGGGATGTCCTGGATGCTTGTGGTGAAGGTTACGGGCCAGTGGACATCCCTCCTGTTTCTACACTACACTCCTGTGCAGCTGGAAGAACAGTGATGTGCTAGCAAACACTGGGATTTCTGCACAGAGACTTTCCTGTAACTGACTTCAGATAGCTGGATGCATCTTCAGCATAAACACTTCTGCAGCTGCTCTGCACACGTAGGCTGACACAGGGCACACAGAGCCCACTTTCATTCACTCACCTTTCAGTTTAGACAATTCAGATGGCTGCAGCCCAGAGGACTCCCACCCCCATTTCTCATCTTCTGAATGCCACATATTTGTTTTGTGTTCTGCACTGATGTAACTGTGCTCCTCTCCACAGCGAGCTCCTTGCCACGGTTGCTGCCGGTTCAAACAGAACTCACAGATGCCGTTGATGGTGAAGGCGAAACAAAGTTTACAGGTCCTCCTGGGGTCTGAGGATTAACTCTAGGGGGTGTGATCTACGGTTCAAATTCACTCATACCTGCTTGCACTAGAGAAATTTGCCCCCAGCTTTAGTTTTATGCACAATATAATCTTAAAAATCCAATCAGGTATTGTAAATTGGCTATTTTGTACTTGATGACTAGATTTGCATATGTACTGTGAGAGCCCTGTGCAGAGGCAGGACAAACGGCAATTGTCGTCTTCATGTCTGTTGCCAAAATCTCTTCAGAGGAAGCAAAAAGGGCTGTTGTGTGTACTGGTTTCCCATGGAAATCCAAGCAGTAACTAGTAGTAGTCTTAGCTCTTCCCCTAGCCCTCTCCAGTGTTTATTATAATAGATATTTTGAGCTGTACTGGTGGCTTGGGGTGGAGTAATACCAAATGAAGGCTCTGTAGCCCCTTGTGATGATACTTGGCTTTCTAATCTAGTCTCAGTTAAAAATTCTGTTCAGATCTTCTACAGCAGATCACTGTAAGTGATGGTTGTACTCATCTGCCCTTAGGAACATCTGAATGTTACCTTTGGGTAAATATCATGCATTAACTAATTAAATTTCCTGTTAAGTCTTGTTAGCCTGCAAATTGAGCTGATCCTGATTGCGAGAACCTCCTGGGTAAGGGCGTCTTCCTGAGCAACTTTAGACGGTTACCTAGCCAAGTTCTAGCTGGTACCAAAAGTAGCTTGTCCAAGGTGAGACAATGCTGCAGCCAGAGAGGCCGGTGTTAAAACAGAGCAGTGCACAGGAGCACGGGGCTGGCTGCGTGATGGCACTGGCATCAGTACAGGTAACTGACCCAGCCCCTTGCTTGGTAGTTAGGTCAGTACCAGCATGGAGGTGCAGTTTTGGTGCCAGCCTGGGCAGGGAGGTGCCATAGCTGCTCAGAGGGGAAGAATGAATAAACAAATACAGAGGGGAAGAATGAATAAACAAATAGGTGTGTTTGTAGGCCATGGAGGAATGTGATCATCTGCTGCGAGCTTGTGGAGCTCCTGTGACAGCGCACAAGAAACTGGTTTGGTTAAAGTCTGCAGGAAGGACAACTTTGAAGAAACTTGTGTGCAGATAGAATTCGCTTTCTCCCTTGCTAATCCACATGTTGTCTTCTTTCTGAAAGCTGACAGCATTGTTTGGGATGAGTGCCAGAACAGATACCCTTTAAGCCTTTTACTCTCTGAAAAGTTTTCTTGCAGCAAGACTAAGAGAAGCAGCCATGTTCAGTTCCCTCAGCCCATCATTTCTGCGGAAGCAAGTCCAGAACCACTGGTTGTGCAGTCACTGGAATAACTGTTTCTAGTGTCATTGGGCAGGTCTAAGCTTATGGCACAGGGAGGTGGTGCTTGTAGCAAAGGTGACTGAACAGCAGCTTTCACAAGCCTTTGGTGCTTACAGGGTGGTTGTGTTTGCCAGGAATATCAGAACTTTCCTGGCTTCTGTATTGGATATGTTTGTGGGAAAAACTGAGCCCACAGCGCTCAAATGCATTGTTAGGGCAGCTTAATGAGTTGCTAAGTGAGAGCTGAACATCTGCCTGTGCACTCAAGCTGCAGCTGGTAGGTCACACTTTAGTGAAACATGTTTTAACCCAGTCTGAGCAAGAGCTTGTGCTTGAACACTTCTGGTAGGTGGGTGGAGTAGTGTGTACTCCCACTGTGTGTGATACTTAATCTTCAGTCAGCTGGTTTTTCGTCTTGCAAGTTTTCTGTTGTGAGAGCAGAGAGAGCAGTGTGAGATGAACGCTTGCCAGAGCCCAGCACAGAAGATGAGATTGCAAAACCCTGAAAGTGGAATGTGTGACAGCTCCTGAAGAACTGGCTTTGGTCTGATGTGCCAGGGGTTGGTTTGGTCTCTGCTGATAGTACACGGAATTGTTTACCCTGCAAGAACTGCTGTGGATGGAATTTCTGGGTCACCTCCTGCTGGTTTTATGCTTTATTATGCAGTACTAATGTAAAGAAATTTGTTGAGTTTTATGCATATTTTTATGTTGTACAGATTTTAATTCTGTTGCTTGTTTGGGGATGATGTGATGTAATGGTCGTAGACCAGGCCAAGGTAAACAGGCTTTGTATATTAATGTTACATAGATTGCATGCTAGTAAAGTCAGTGAGGGTTGTGTTTCCAGTTTTGTCCCTTGTACTCCTCCTTGTCCAAAACCTTCTCTTTCCCACCCCTTTTTAATTTACAGGTTTACTTTAAAAGGGGGTGGCAGATGGAGGGTGGGGGAGAAACACCTCGGTATTTTAAATAAGGTGCACAACATCTCTTCACTGCCGAGTTTTGTTGCCACAGCTCATGGTGTTCTGCATCACAGGCTGTTGAAGCGGGAGTGTGTATGCATGAGAGGTGGGGGAAGGAGACGCTCCAGCATAGCCCAAAGAGTGCTGAATGGCCAAAATGTATATGTTTCTCCCTTTGTGAGAACTGCCTTAGCCCAGCCAGCTGTTTTCATTGTGCACAGAAATTGTTCAGCATCCTCTAGCGGTGTATTTTGCCTTGGTTTGCTGTGTATCAAAGGTTTCTTCCTTCCTCTTGGTGCCAGGAACAAAGCCATTAACTACAGCTGCCTCTCTGTCACGTGCCTGCATGAGAGGAGGTCTGAGTGAGTCTGTCCACATCTAGCACTGAAACAGGGTCACGTTGGTGTCCTCATTCCAGCCAAGGAGAGATAGCTGAGTTTGCATATATCTCACCCATTCTTTCCCCTCCTTTCCCTCTTCCCCCAGCAGAGGGCTGAGAGGGGCAGGAGAGGCAACCAGCAAATTCTATGCCTGAGGGTGTGTCCATGTGCACGGGCTGGAGTAGGCACCAGAGCTGAAGCAGTGCTGGATCGCTCACCGGTCTGACCGGTTAGACACAGACACACACTGAGGCACTCAAGAGCCACTGCTCTCACTGGAGGACAAGAGGTATGGCTTGGCCCTGAGGTAGATGACAGAGCTTGGTGTGTGTTACCAGGAGGCAGGCCATGTTCCTGGAATTCAGCTTGTCCTTGCAGATAGTTGAGTTGGATGTCATGAAAGTGTCTGGAGATACCTGCTGGTAGGAACCACAGGTGTCCACAGGTGCTGTGGTGTGTGTCGTGGCTACCAGAAAGGCTTAGACCCAGCTAGTTCTTGCTAGAGCAGTTTGTTCTCCTTTCACAGCTGTTGGGCATTTTCTTTTCTTGCTGCTGAGGGTTCTTGGTGATAGCCAAAGTTGACAGTGGCAGTAAAGCAGCTTCTGAAAAGTGCCACTTTTACCTAGGGTATTTCAGCTGATCATGAAAAGAAAGCAAGGAAGCATCAGGACTGAGAAGCCTTTTCCAGCAGAGGGTGTGTGGGGTGCCTGCCTGCTGTGGATGTGCACATGGTTGACTATAGAGGTGGAAGAGGACGGTGCACTGATAATGTTGCACTTGTGGTGTGTCCCACCTGTGCTTGATGGTGATTTTGCTGTGCTCTTCCTAGCAACTTCCACCACTTCCTAGCAGGTGCTGTGGATGCACCTCTCTGCTGGAAATGAGCTTGCTTTTTCATTAGTTACATCTCTGGGCTGCAGGCATAGAGCAAAATTTCCACATTTTCCTTTCTGGAAAAGATGGAACTTTATGTGGTTTAGTGAACTGGGAGCATTTACAGAGTTTCTCCTCCCAGAGGTGCAACAGGACATTTTGTTTATCGGGTAACAAGTGTATTCTCTGCAGGCCCTTTTTGGAAGCCGCTGTTGAAAAGACCATGGTGCTGTGGCTTTACTCGGAGTAGTAGTTGCATTCAGAGTAGTCTTGATTCAGAGTATTGAGAGTCACTGGTGGAGCACTGCAGCATTTCAGGCAGCATTACAAACCCCATGCAGAGACTTCAGTACCTATGTTGGCAACTGTGGCAGTGGAAAACATACAGCACTGTTGTATTCACTAAGGCAAGTATTTATAACACTAACCTCTAGGGAAGGTGGTAGTGGAAACTGAGCACCAGCAGGATCATGGGCTACAGCTTCTGGGGTGCCAGTTACAAGAGTTTACTGTGCTTACAGGTGTATTCACCTTCCCCAGCTTCCGGCATCTCCCAGTATTTTGGCACAGGCGCATTTTGTAGATAAAATGGTCATTACACAGAGGTCAGAACAGTTTAAGAAGGGAACAACGTGTGGTTTTGGGGATTTTCCCCTGCAGTAGCTGAAGTCAATGTATAGTAACAGCCCTATTTACCTACTTCTGATGTTCAAACTTCAAGCATAGTGGGACCCCCACCTCATGTCCGTGGGGACATGCTGAAAGCTTGGTGCAGCCGAGGTTTGACAACTGCTGTTAGAATAATTCACAGATCATGGTATTCTGCTACTTTAATTCAAAAAAACCCGACTCGTGTGTTTTGTGTAATCTCCAGCCCATGCAGGAAGAGGTTTGGGGGTTTTTTTGTACTCTAAATATACTAATTTTATTAGCACCTGTGCTCATTACAAGACAGTGATGGCAGCAGTGGCCTGCTGTCCAGAGGTAAGCCTACACCAAGGACGCTGCTGAAATGGACATTTGTTCCAGTTTCATTTTACACCTCTGAAGAATCCTACCACTATTGACTAATAGGAAGAGCTGTGTATACAAATCTATTTCCATTACAGCGCCTCGGTAAGTGCTGACATGTCCAAGATTTTTTTGTAAAGAACAAGTGCTTCTTTTCACATTTGAAAAAGTGTCTTTTGCAACTTGCATGGACAAGTAGTTTCTATGAATTCTCTGGAGATGTCAGTGTCTAACATGGATTTTGTCCATGCACTTTTTTCTGAAAGCAGATACCCCCCATTTGGTTTGCAGTTGGAGCAGCGCTCTGTGCTTTTGCTTTTGGCACTGCTGATGCAGTGGATGGATGCAGAGCCCACTGTAAATGACAAGCCCAGGACTCTGGGGAGCTGTATGCCGCCAGTAACGTTTTAGTGTGTGTGCCATTTGAACCACCTTCCAGTGAGTGCAAAACCCAATTTTTAAATTTTTTTAATTGTACTTGGAATTAACTGTTGCTGTGTACTAAACCCTCTTGTTATGAGCCCTAAATAAAAAGAACAAAGCACACTTCATGTGTTCTGTGAGCGTGCCACAGCCGTGTCACATTTCTTGTTTTTGGCTACAGATTTCAAATGCACTGGGGCCAGGGGTCTTGGCTTGTGTGTGCAGGAGCCCCGTCCCCGAGGATCTCTGACACAGCACTTCCCACAGCATCCAGCCCGCTGCCTTCAGCAGCTCCTCAACCTCTATGGGACTCCCCCTTTCCTGCCCTCGCTAGTGTAATCCTCAAATCTCTGCTGCTGAGGGCCGCAGGGCGAGGCTGGGAGCATTTCCCAGCCCTGTTCCTACAGCCCCCGAGTGAGGCCACAGCAGCACTTAGCGGCCAGCAGCTGTTCTGTGTGAGCACAGCTGGACAGGACCCTGCAAGCCCGAGCAAGCAGCAGCTGGAAAAGGTGAGCCTTCACATGGGCTCCTCTTTGGAGCTGTAACTGGTGTGCAGCACAGGGCTGGTACAGCCAGCTCTGACCCAGCAGAAATAACTGTGCAAAGGAATAACAGCAGTTCCATTGGGAGTGGGCACAGGAATGGTACATGCAGCTGTTGGCCAACAGCTACCTGACCCCTGCCGAGAGGAACCACTCATGACCTGAAAACACAGTGTGGGTTCTGAGCTCATGAAAAAAGGAAAATTGCAAGACAGAGGATTAAAACAGAGTATTAAATTTAACTACATCTTTATTGAATTGTGCATATTCCATTGTATAATGATCTATATTGGGTACTCTATAATGTAGTATTTCTTTTGTCCTCTCTCATGCTTAAAAAAGTATATTTATACATATATTTATATATATTTATAATATGGCAAAGCTCCCCCCAACCTGAAATGATCAGTCTAAAAGAGCTTTGATTTTTATTTTTTTTTTTCTTTTTGGAAAGGGAAGAAGAGGGGAGGCAATCCCATTGAAAGATAAAATGTGCAATTTTCTTTTTAAAGCAGTAAACATGAATGTATTTACAGCACTCAGCACAAGTTTGCTGCACAGACAAATCATCATTGCAATGACACTTCTTACACTTGCATCTCCAGTATTATACAGAATATTCCCAGTGACTGGTAACAATTAGTGTAAGCCATAAACCAAACTGCTGCTTCAGTTAATTTCTGGTCCATTGCAGTCCACTAGGAGGCCTAAGATTCCCAATTACAACTTGTGACAAAATACTCTGTTTTTCTTTTAGTCGTGCAAGCGCTATTGTGCTGCACCAAATCAGCCAGCAGGGTGCCGTGGGCACGGCTTTGTTTGCTAAACTGTCCTTTGCAAGTGTGTACCCAGTTCGCAGTGTTGCTTAAAGGCAAGGGACACACAATATCTAAGAGTGGCACCCTGCTCTCTCTCCACGCGTGCTAGAGATCAGCAGTATGAGACCCCTGGCAACAAGCGACTGCTGTACACACATTTGCATACCTGGAATTTAGCTCAGAATGCATCTTTGGCATCTTGGGAAAGCTGGAAGGAAATTATTTTCCACTGTAGCAAAAGGTTGAATTCCAAAATCTCCTAAAAGACAAATCTCCTAAAAGACAAGTTGCCTTCAAGCATTTAAATAAGGGGGGTAGTGTCCACAGTCTGTTACTGAAGGTCCTTCTCACTCATTTCTACAGCACTAGCTCCTGTTCCTCCTGCTCTACCTTCTCCAACTCCCCTTTACCCAAGATCCATCTGCTGAGCAGAGAGCTCACTGAGTCCCTCAGAGCACCAAATGATCAGTACCCAAGTCACTGTTTTCCCCATGGTTGGTTAGCAGCAATTCAAGTAATTTACATGGTTCTGGATAAACATGTGTTTGTCATCTCAGTTGCAGTTTAGTGTCTTAAACTTCTCAAAACTAAACCAAGCCTCCGTCACAGTATTAGTGAGTGCTGCCCCCTGCAACAAAACCGTGGTTTGGTCAGTCTTCATGGGCATTTTTTAATTGAAAGAAAGAAGATTCAGAAAGGAAAATTACTCAACTTAGACAAACTCAGAATTCCAAAAAATAAAGCTTAAAACCCCACCAGCATGTGGCAAAAAGCATCCAAGAGAAACTATCTCTTGTAGTGTTAAATCCTCTCTGGTTTGGAGTCTGCCACAGTGGTGCAAGGGAATGAATGCAGAGCTCAAAACCAGGTACCACAACTGGGCCCTAAAGTAGTAAGACTCACCTGCAGTTGAGGAGCACTGTGTGATTGAGTATGTAATCTATACCTTAACAATGCTAAAAAGGAAAAAAAACCCAGCAACCAACCAAACTCCATGTTCTGGCTGCATCCTCACTACCTTCTACCAGGAATTCATACTGCTTCTCTTGAGTGCAACTGATTTTAACATGACACAAGTTGAAGTAGTACTCATTTTAGGACCCACTTAGAATCGTATTCTGAATAAGAAACAAATTTACTTGTGAGGGTACCACTGTAGCAAAACAATTTGGTTCTATGTTGTTTTCTGTAAAAAGCAGAAAAATTCTCTTTTTGACCTTCTGCTGTAGAAATTGCACTTTTGGTTCCTTAAACTGTGGGAAAAGAATTTTAACTAAGAGGAAGACTGGCCACACTTTATCTCTGAGCTGATATGATTTACCTGGTTGCCTAAGGGCACAGAAAGCAGGGAATTAGAAAACGTTTAAATGTGCAAGCCCAGAACAGTGCATGTTAAAATGCACTTGTTGAAAAAACTGCTTCCTCTCCCCTCAGACCTGAAACCAAATAATCCAGGTACCTGCACTTTGCTTCCCTGATGTGTCACTCAGACAACTGCAGAGTAAACTCAGGAGAGGAGCTCTGTGGCTTTGAGGTCATCACCAAGTCAGAGCAGGCAGTGGTGGTTTGCCACAGGAGGAAACCACTGTGCAGGGTGAAGCAGGAAACTTCCTCTTCCATAGAAAGTAAGAGAATTATTTAGACATTTGTGCCTATCTTCCTCTCTGAGCTACAGGTGTAAAAAGACTAAACAGGACCCCAGCATAGCCACCTGAAACATGTCAGCTATGGTTTGTTTAGAACCTGTGGGTTTTTTTGGTTTCAAAAATAATTTCTCATCTAAGCTTAGTGTTGCAAGAAGAGCCTAGTGTTCCCTTTCAAAGCAACTCTCCACCACCTGAATTGTGATGTAAGTGTCTGAGAATATCTCCCTGCTTTCTACACCTGGGCTGCAGGCACAGACACGTGGCTGACCAGGGCTCTGGTACTCCGAGGTGGATTATGCTGCATAGCGGAGGGGAAATGCGCGAAAGATGAACAAACACAGCTGAGCCCTCTCAGCTGCCCTTGCAGCAGCAGAGCTCCCCTGACACCCACGTTAACAAGTGCCCAGCCTGTGCACTGCCTCACGTCATGCAGCTCCAGCTGTACACTCCGTGTACGTTGGGATCAAAGCACTTTTGTGTCTGGAGTATGAACACTCAGCCTTCACATGCCCATTTTAACACTGCCAAAAGGATTACTGCCTTTTCTGTTTGTAGCAGGAAGCACACCTTCCTGGGTGCCTGAAATCCAGCCCCTTAATTTTCTGATTTAATAAATATTATGGTGCAATTATGAGATGACTGCAGATGGGGGCAAATAACTTACTTGCAAAATAAGGTGTAAATAGCCAGTAAATATACTGGAAAAGCAAGTTATAATGGGGAGTATCTCATAACCTGAAAAGGCAACCAGGTTGTCTGAACCACACTCTAGCAAAATTTCCATGCTCAACTGAGAGAAAGCAAGCAGCAGCCACTCACTGGATCTCTACTGCCTCAGGAAGGAAATTCTAACTAGAAGGAATACAGGCTGGCACCTTTGCTGACATTCATTCTTTTTGCTGCAGACTTAGGAGTTACACAGCTGTCTCCTAGCAAGCTGTGGGCAGCCTGCAGTAGGAAGCATGGATTAATTGCCTAGGGAGAGATACTGGGGAAATTAATGTGGGCACAGGAAAATGAGAACAAGCTCAAATGCCTCTGAAGAAATTGCACTCAAAACATTGATGTGCCGAGTCCAAAGCCCAGAGGTACCCGCACTGAATGAACTAAAGTAAAAGGGCTGGAACTGACACACACCAGTGAGGCTGTCCTGGGGGAAAGAAAAGCAGGGGCAAACAATCCCCTGACTGCTCTCACCTGGGAGCACACACTGCATCAGCCCAGGTGCGTGTTGCCAGCAGAAGGAGGATGTGCCCACTTACCCGTCACGGCTAAGGGCCCAGCAGTCACAGCTGCAGCGAGCACCTTCTGCCCACTGGTGTGTCTGAGCCCCAGGAGCTGCACACAGGACAAAGCAGCAGGAGGACCAATGGTAAAAATTACAGCACCCATGAACTGCAGTATAGCTTAGCAACCCTCCTAAGTTATAGGAGGTGAAGTTAGCCCCCAGCTACACTGAGCATGCTTAAAATCAACAATGCAAATGCTTTTAAGGACACTTTGTAAGCACAAAAATAGTAGAAACAAAACTTGGTGAACAATTTGAAAGATACAAAAAAGTGCCTTTCCATAGCAGTGCTTTAAAAATGCACACAATGGTATATACTCTTATTGCTCAAAAAATCTAGTCTGAAATATTAAAACAATTTCCAGAGGTGCTGAAACAGATTTTAAAAAAATCATATGAAACAGTCGGCAGAGACAGCACCACTAATCTTTCTCTTTTCATGATGCACCTATTTAAAACTATATAGTTATAGATGTGTAATTTTCCACCTCAAATTAGCAAAACTTTTTTCCTATTCATAAAATATTCACAGACATTTATTTAATTATTTGGATTTAAAAAAAAAAAACTTTATAAAAAAAAGGAATGAGGGACACTCTCGCAATATTTCTTAAATCTATCATCCTGAATTACTCTAATGAGATATTATTTTATATTGGTATTACACATGTGAGGATACTGCCACGTCAAGCTGCTGTTTTTTGTTTCATTCTTTCAGAAAAAGAAAGCATCTAAAGATTGCTTTTGGAGAAAAAGTATGCAAACAGTGACATTATTTGCCCTGTGAGCCTATTGACAGTATCCCCATGGTGACAAGGAAAGCTGTAACAGCTGAAGATGGGCTAGTTACAGTCCAAGTATTTTAGTTGTTCTACAAAGGCTGTGTCCCACCACCCTGTAAGGAATGTGCAGTGATACATGAGACCACTTACACTACCTTGTCACAAAGTCTGAATATGTGGGTAAGACTGTACAATCAAGCTACTGAAGAAAAAGGACTGTCATACTTGATCTAGTGACCTGATTGTAAATCACTGACTAACAAAAAAACAAGGAAATCAATATTTTCTACTCATATGGGCCCTTAGATGAAATTCCTAGCTAATGTTATTGCCTCTTTAAGGTTGTTTTATTTCCAGTCTTCTTCCTTGACTGCTAGAAGTGCAACTTTGTAATAAACAGGTTAATTCAACTGGTCACAGTCTCTAGCGGGTCAAAGAAAAGAGAGATAATTCCTAAGGCTCTGCTTGTCCTGAAATTGCTGCTCCCTTCTCTCTTTCCAGAAGGGAATGTTTCCTGACAATTTCTAACCAATTACAAACAATACTTTCTTTACACATTTCCAGACACTTGTTTTTGTGAAGACACTACATCTTAGCAGGCACAGACCAGGTGAGCCAGGACGCTGTGCATGCCTGTGTGAGCACACAGTGCTTTCTACAGAAACCTACCTGTTCATTCAGAGTAAGACTTACACGGACAGCTCACGATCGGCGTGGGTCAGCCTTGGGGCTTGGCAGGATTTTCGATTGCAGGAGTCCTGGCAGCTTTCAGAAGGGGTTAACACAAATATATTCATCTTGAGCCACAGAAACAAATGATTGAGCCTATTATCAGTTAGAATGCATAATGGTTTGGAATTATATATATTTATCCTACTTAACTGCATGGACAAATAAGTTTGAAATAATTTGTATCAGTGTATATTTTTAAACTATTTGAAAGGAGGGGGAGGCTCTTTATAGTATAAATATATTTCACTCCAGCCCACTATATATAAAATCTATTTCTTTCCTCTGAACATACTCATTTTCAGTAGTATTATGACCAGAATGTTTTGGTATGTTGCATCTGTACTTTTCAATCAATGGACAATATACAGTTACCAGCCGAACACCTCAGCTTTGCAGAATTTACCCACCACAAACTGCTGAGAAGTTTGTGGGTTTGGGTTTTTTATTTCCTTTCTTTAAAGTGCCCCCTACATCTCCATCTTTATGGTAAGATTTGACCAGTTAGAGTCTGATTCCAGATACTATACTGACTGAAACAATAAATACGGTTCTACAAAAACATTCTGGTTATCTTCTATAATTGCGATGAAATATATCACAATATATTATATACCTACACTTATAATACATGCACAAACATGTCTCACATGGACAGACACTACAAAAAAATCATCTCCCTCCCCCTCCCCTAAATGCAGAAAAAGTAAGAAAATGGGGGTTTGGTCCAATCCGTAAGAAGGGTAAAAGAAACTGAAAGAATGAAGCCAACACCTCTCTACCCACTTTTCCCAATAAAGTATCAACTCCTAAGCCCCCAACATTTTTAACATAGCCATGAAAGGGGAATGTCTTTACATTTAGCCATAGCTGCAGTTTGAGATCACCTCTTCTAATGGGGCTATCATCCACATCCTCTCCATGTGCACAAGATCACGGGCTGGCCGATCCCGGAACAGCCCACAAGTCACGGAGAGCGCTGGCCCCCGAGACTGACTACCAGTCCCGTGACAGCTTGGTGTTCTGATCCCTTTTGGGGGGTGCAGGGGGTGGCCCCCTCCGTAACGTTGCATAGCCAGATATGTGACTGCCCCCAAAGCTGCTGGTCTTCTGCTGGTCAGCCAGCAGCTCTGGCGGGGGTGGAGGCAGGGCCATGTCGTCCATGGTGGCCGTGGGCTCTGTTCTGGACATCCGAGCGGAGGAGAGGGAGCCGTGCCGGGTGATGGATTTCCGCTGCAGCGTCCGGTTGAGGTCTGCCAGGAATCCTGGCTGAACGCTAAGGCTGGACTTGGGTGACGTGGGCACTTGTGGGCCAGCTGACCCTGGGGGCTCTGCGACCTCCGCCTGTGTCAGTCGGGTGCTGTCGTTCCGCTTCGGGCGTGTGGGCGGTGGGGCTTTTTTCACAGACGGTTTTGACCACGTCTGTGGCTGGGGATTTACAACAGCAACTTTTGGGGAGGTGCTGCCTGAAAACACAGATGGGATTTCTACTGGAGGGGGAGGAAGATCTATTTCAGGTGGTGGTGGTGGGAAGTCTGAATCGGATGGTGGTGAAGGGAATTCAACCACAGGTTCCTTTCCAGACACACTCGGAGCAGAAGCCTTGGCTGGGATCCCACCTTGTGGAAGGACAATGGGCAGGCTCACACCAGAAAGGTTGAGCTTTCCTGGCTTTGGAGGGGCTGGAGGAGGTGATGACTCCTTGGAAGGAGATCCTGACGGCTCTGGTGAGTGTGCAAATTTGCTGACAAGGCGGTCCACTGAAGGCCTCTTGGACTCATGGTACTCAGTGGAGCTTGTGGATTTGATGCTGGAGTTGCGCTGAGGTGTTGGAGGTGGTTTCTTCCCTCCGGGGCTTGATGTCTTGCCGGCCTTTTTGACTGGAGACCCTGATTTGTCAGGCGGGGGAGAACCTGCAGAGGAAGCTGGGGAAGGAGGTGGAGGAGGAAACACTAAACTGCTCTCTGGTGGAGGAGGGGGGAAATCTGGTGAAGGAACAGCAGCAGGCTGCCATTTGGGCTTTGCCTTCACTGCTGGAGGTGACTGTGGAGCCACACTCAGTGGAAGGGGTTTCAGAGGCTGGGGCTCAGTGGCAGGTGGCATGGGAGGAGGAGGGGGGAACTGGCTGACTATCTGCTTCACCACCGAGGGCACTGGGGACTGAGGGGATGGAGGAGGTTTTACTGAGAAACTCTGCTGCTTTGGGAATGTTGCAGGGGGAGTGGGACCAGGAGGGGCTGGGGGTAGAGGAGGCACCTGGGGAGAAGTGACACTTGGTTGTTTCTTTATTGCAAGGGGCAAGGGTGCAGTCACCGGGGGAGTGACGTGTGCGACCCCTGGTGACGCTGCCTTCCCACTAGGCTGAGGGGGCAGAGCTGCCATGACAGGCTTTGGGGGTGCCTGGGGTGGCGGGGGGGCAGGCACGGGAGGAGGCGGTGGTGGCAACGAGGAGGCAGCGGCGGCCTGGCTTATATTTGGTTGAACCTGATGTATCTTGGGGGGCGGTGGCGGCGGCGTGAACTGCGGCACGGAGGGGGCACAAGGTGCCGGCTTCAGCTGTGCCATGGCCGAGCCCGGCGTGGGGGGCGGCGGCGGGGGCGGGGGAGGCGGCATGACCCCGTTGGGGGGCACCGGGATCTGAGGCTTTGCCGAGGGCGGGGGCGGCGGCGGGGCCTGCTGTGCAGCAGGGGCTTTGGAGAAAGGGCCGCCGTGCTGGGCCGCGTTCTGCAGCCGGGTGATGGTGCTGTACTTGACGAACATGGTGGCGGGCGAGCCCGCGGATGGGGCGGCCTGGCTGGGCAGGGGCGGGGGCGGCGGGGGCGGCGGCGGCGGGGGCGGAGGGGGCGGCGGCGGGGGCGGTGGCAGCGGCGGGGACGGCTGCGATGCTGTGTACGGGGCCACCGCTTTCGTCTGCGGGGACACGGGAGCTGCAGACACGAAGGGCCGACCTGCAGGCTCCGCTCGGGCCTATGGGGAAGGGATTTTTAGTGAAAGTGGAAAGGGAGAAATAGAAGAGAGAGGGAAGGAGGGAGAGAGGGAAAGAGACAAAGAGATTATAAAGTCAAGGTCTAAATGTGCCCAACATTAAAAATTAAGTGACAGATTACAGCATGCAAGAATTATTAGCAAAACACTGGAGCAAGAGACAATTCCATACACTGGCAAGCCTGGACCATGCAAGGGGATGGGGCAGGTCGGGAGGAGAGCCGGCAAAAGTCAGTGGAGCCACTTCTGCTCCAAGTGAGGCTGACTGTCAGAGGGCAAACACGCCAGCCTTGTCACCTCTGTGGGGCAGGCAGTGGGACCAGTGAGAAATACTGGCCTTTGGGCAAGCATAATGACCCAAACAGAGCCCCCACAGAACACCCCAGGCCATGACAGAGGACAGACGCAGAGACTCTGGACTTCTCAGCTCACTATGACTGGAATCAAACCACACACGGTCTCCCAGAGCATGTCCAATCCTTACATCTGTTAGTTCAGGCCTTACACTGTTCAGTGTTACAAAATGCAGAAATCTTGAACTGCTTAAAACACACCGAGAGCAAGCTCTGCACAGGAATAGTACTGAGATATTTTTCCTTCACATGCTCTATCCACGACTGACAAGGAAAAAATAGGGGAAAAGAAGGAGAACCAAGTTTTCCTAGTAAAATTTTCCCAGAAGGAAATGTTTAGACATCTACAAAACAAAGTAAACTTGGAAAAGGAAAGTTACACATGCAACTTGTATGTTAAGCAGAAAAAAATAAGGAAAACCAGAGAAAAGCTGACTAATGGAAAGATCAATGGGAAAGGAGCAGGCAGTATTTTAGTCTACTCATTGGGTTGTGCTCAAGTTAAGTTGTTTCTCAAAAACTGTAAGGCTATATTCCTCTTAAAAATTAAAACGATAATTGCATTACTCAAATTTATAAACATCCTCCTAATACAAAGTGTTTTGGCTACAAGCCAAGTTGTGAATTTCACAGTGCACAGCATAGAAACATGCATTAGAAATACACCACCACCATGGCAACTGACCACACTGGGTACCTATACCTTATTAGTAGACACTTTGTAGTAAGTTAGCCCAGTTTATGCTCATCTGCATGGGAAGAGCACATTTGCATATTGCTTTGTTCTAAACACAAGTGCACAGTGTCTGAATGTGCAGAACTCCACCAAAAGGATTAGAGTCAGAAGCAATAAACAGTGATTTTACAACAAACGTGGGGTGTGCCTCTACCTGTCACATTAGGTCTGGAAGGCAAGAATATTAACAGCTCTGGAACTAAATCAAGGTGTTCACATTACAAAACAGAAATATTTGATCTCTTGCAAGTGTTAGTCTGTAAATTACCATTCTCCCAATCACCCAAGTTAATACATTTTCAGTTAGCACCACCTGACCTTAATTGTGCCCTGTATAAGGCACCATGAGTGTGCTGCCCTTAGTTGTGCTGAGCTTCACTTTTGACACCTGAGACAGCAAAAGGCAACAGGAAAAATAAAGGTGGCATAAAACAGACAGAGGGGGAGATGAAAGTATAACAGAATAGCTATCCCTGAATGGCAGGACCTTGGAGAATCTTGAATTTGTCCCTTAAAGCAGACACAGTGAGCATGCATTTGGGTATTTGTTGTAGCACACCGTTTGAATTGATATGTTCAAAATCTAACAAGCAAAATGTGACTTAATGAGCTCTTCACTGCCCAGCTGGGAACAAATGAATAAAATATTCTTTGGGCAAAGAGCAATCCTTCAAAATATGAAGCAGATGGATTATCTGCATTTTAGGAAAAGTTTTTCTTAATCTTAGATATATTTGAAACAGGGAGGTGTTTTCCTTATACCCATTGAAGACAGCCATCTTCACAGTGAACAAATTAAACACTCAGGACAGAGAAAAGACTATTGGGCATCTCAGGAAGGGGAGCCCCTCCCATCTCCACAGAATCAAATTTCAACATCCAGAAGGGTATTCTGTGATAGTCTATTTACAGAAGAACCTTGAGAGATGAATTTGTCCTTTTTTCGCCCTTATAATTAGGTGATGTCCTTCTGTGTATCCTGAAAAATTACTTATTGCATACTAGCAATTCATATTTGTAATATGCATCTTCATGACTATCTGGAATTCTAAAGAAATGCTATAAAAACAATAGTATCTCTTTTTATATCAGCTGTGCTTTTTTTTTTAAAGCTAGTATTTCCTAAGAAAACAAACTTCTGCCATTGAACTGTTTGCCATCTCTTCTCCCATACTTTTCGACTGGTTAGCAAATTTGACAAATATGAGAGATCTCTAGAAATCTCAGTATGTTTTCGACTTCAAGAAATTGTGAAGTTACAGGTAACTGGTAAATGAGGGACAAGTGGGCAGAACTCACCCATTATTAATTTGCTGAGGCACTAGTACAACACCCTGGCTGGAAAGAGCACCAGTGTCATCTCCCTGCTGAGACACAGTGTGCTCTGTTGTGCCCTGCTTGCCCAGGCGAATGAGCCACGGCTGACAAGGAGGGAGAGAGCTGTTGCACAAGGGGAAGGGACATGCAGGAAACTTCTGCCACTTGGCAGCAACCTGCCCACATGAACTTCTTAAGCCAGCTTTGACACCAAGGCACTGCAGCAAAGCTGCCTCTGAGCTAACTGGAGACTAATCTGACTAAAGCACATCTCACTATCACTGTGAACACCTTCTCGTGTAAATTACAATTCTTCAACACTGCTGTTGCCTTTCTTGCCACACAGTTTAACACTTTCCACTGCCTGTCTGATTTCATAGTTATTCAAGTTCCCCGGGCCAGATTTACACTGTAGTTTCACTGAAAGTAAATTTGTCACCAATTCACTCAATTGTTTAACACATCTTTTGCAAGTTTACACAATACCTTTCATTTGAATTCCTCGGAAGTTTTAGGGCAATTCATTTACCTATGTTAAGTATGAGGTGAAAACATATACCTTTTTTTGGATTTGCAGGAAGGAATTCAAATTGATGAAATCTTGATACATGGATGGCCCTCAACAGGAAGCATTCTGAGTATTTTATTTTTAACATGGGTTTAATCAGGTAGCATGAAAATTCTTGGGGTTTATTTAGATGAGCAATTGCCAGCAGCACTACAGACTTGATAAAGAACAACAGTAACCCTAAAGTAGTAAACTTCAAACTTTTGCTTAAAATCTCACAGCAAGTGTATGTAGCATCAGGATTTACAGTGAACCCAAACCTTGAGGAAACAGTGACATTATCATTCTCACAGCAGTACTCTTTCACCTCTGTTGGGTACCTGCTAGCAAATGCCCCATCTCCTGCAGAAAGGATGCATCCTATACCCACATAAAAGCCATCTGCTGATGGACATGCACCACGTGTTGCACTCATGCAGTAGAAAAACTTGGACCACAATTTAGCAAGCTGCATTCCTGGACTGAGTACTACATTACTATTAGAATCAGACAACTTCCAAGCCAGCAGGCACTGCAGAAAAGCTATGAATCCCAAAGGATGCAGCCATGTCAGCTTTCACACTGTCATATGCTTTCTCGTTTGAAAAGGTGATGTGTTATCTTATTTTTAGTTATTTATCTGAAGCACCAGTGCCAGGTGTATGTGGTTTTAGTTTTAAAAAACTTGCTTCTCTAGCTTAAACTTGGGGTCTGGGGAAGATTCAGAACTGACAGAAGTAATGACAACTTCACATAGTGCACTTCAACACGTAGCTGCAGTTAATGACATCAAGGCTGTTCAGGAACCTGGAGATTCCTTCAAATCTGACAACAAACCAGCTTCAGCAGAATTTCTCCTATGCATGGAAATCTTCCCCAGGAACTAGAACCATTCACCACAGAAAGAACAGAAAACTAACCAAACCACAACAGACCTGAGCCCCAGCCTCAATGGGTTAGAGTCTTGTAACTCTCTACCAGTAACAGGAGATACCACATCTGCCTTAATCCACGACTCCTCACAATGTCAGTACCTTTGTTTTGACAATATCAGAGGTTACTGGTTCCATTTCCACCTAATATAACAGAAAGCTTTTGAAAAACTACTGAAGTACTTCAAAATATATATACCTGCTTTCAGGCCCCAGTTATTCACATCTTTACAAAAGAAAGATGTGGCTACTTAACTGAGAAAGACCTTAGTGAGAAAGAATTTCATTCAATTTGTTAACAGCTTATCTTTTTATTTTGTCTTCATTCAACATTAGTAAATAGGACTGTGAGGGGGGCTGTATAATGCCTTCAAAGAACAAAAGCTTCTATGCACAGAAATAAAAGAAAGAACAGAAAGTTGCAGGGCTGAATTACCTGAAAAAGTGAATCCTAAAAAACAATTATATAGCAGTGTAAAACAACCATGTAAAACAGAGAAGAAATGTCACTCAAGACAGGTGGAAGGGATACAACACCCTGTCTCATACATTTTATCAGGTGCTGGTTCTCAAATTAAAGTCTTCTTGTTACCTTGCTGGATTCCTCCAGTTGAGTGCCTCGTTTCCAGGCCTCAGAGAACATGGAGCTGACAATGCTTTGGGAACGGACATGTCCAGCTGTCTGGGTGTCAGAAACTCCACTGTCAGACTGATTAGAATGATTTGATTGAGATTCTGTTCAGAAAAAAAGTTAAGGAACAGTTAGCATACTGAATGTAAGAATTTCTGAATGTAAGAGTTATGTCAGTACACTTATAATGCAACTCTTGTTAAACATGTCCCCAGAGGATACTGCTCCCAGTAATGACTGCATAAGCTCCAGCTCACATCCAGGCCATGACCACCTGGAAAATAAAACAGTGCAACAGATGCCAGGTATTAACCAAGCCTGAAGCTGCATAAAGATGAGAGCACATCAGATATGTTTCAAAGTAAAATCACACTGCAGCTGTATGGGTTCTGAACCATGCCTCATGCCTACACTTTGGAAAAGCCCCATTTCATGCAGTGCATGCTGCCTGCTCTCTCCAACACCCCCTCTCAGCACAACCTTAAAAATGGACCCTGGGCACAGGCCGTGAACAGGCAAACTGCACCAGCCAAGGTAGGACACTGCTTCCAACAACCCATTCCTCAACACAAGAGAAGAACTGGTGTGCATCCTGCAAATAGCCAACACAGATGATGCTCTGGTCCACGGGGTGTCTTGGCAAGACAGCAGCAGGCACTGCCAGACCAATTTGTTCAGTCTGGCAATTGCTTTCTGTGTAATCCCAAACTGTCCTGGCACAAGCTGGGATGCAACTTTGGCAGAACATGCCTGGCTGGTGGGCTGTGGCTCAGCTCCCTACAAGAATTGACACTTTAAGAGAAAGATAAACACCCAGCCTGGATGGAGAAATTGTCAGTAACCAAGGATTTACTGCTATGCCACACAGTTGAAACAACAAAGTACCTTCCCAGTTAGACTGCTCTTGCTTAGCTCGTTCTTACAGGCTACTTTCTGAACCTGTCCAATTCAGTAGTGTTATTTCCCAACCCCTATCTGTGGTGGATGAAACACCTTCACACAACAGCACGTTTTCAATAAAGAACCTAGGCCCTGAAGTTTCCAAAAAACCCACCAAAGCATCAGTCAGCTCTGAACAGTGAAATTACACTGTATAAACCATTTATTTTTTAAACTGTTACATGCAACAAGAAACCAGCCCCAGTTCTGCTGAGAGATAAACAGGAGCACATTAATGCAGACATGCACAATTTGACATGGGAACAGAAACAGTATTTTCAAAGTTTTCTCTAAAAAGATTGTTTGGATCTTTGCATTTGGGCAATATCAGAGTTTGGGAAAAGGCTATTTCTCATTTTCCAGTTTCAAATATTTCAGTTAACAAAGCAGTTTAAGAACTACATATGTATGTTCTATGCATCATTACAATATACATTTTTTTCAAATAGGTGAAAGTAGAGGCATCAAGAATTTGAAATGTTGATTCCTCCTCTCTGTATAAGAAAAACATTGGTTTTGGGAGGTGAACAAGAAAGTGCTGCATATTTCAAATACATACATCACTGCAAGTAATATAGCAAAATAGGTTTTTACCTGTGTGTATATATACACACAGATGAATGTTATAGATAAAGTCTATGTTTTAGACTAAACACAGCATGAAATATTTTGGAGAAACAGTCAATTTCCTGCAATAGTCTCTCTTGAGGCATCCAGACAGCAGAGGATAACAAAGGCAATTGAATCTTCGTATTATGAGATAGATCACATTGTTACCTGGCAAACTAGATGAGCTGGAGCCTGACTTGATACTGGAGCTAGACAAGGAGGTCCAGTCATAGGCTGATTCTGTTCTCTTCAGTGCTTCCTGATAGTTCAGGTATAGCTGCTTCCCGTACTAAGCAAAATGACAAACAAGTTTAACAACTCTATACAGGCTGTGTACTCCTTTCAGACTGTTAAACTCCACCTCTGGCTTCTCTACTACATCTTTCCTCCTGCCAGTCCCCCCAAAGCAACACAGGCTCTATGTTAAGGAGTTTAGCCAATATTAATAGTATTAGAAGAATTGCTGAAAGAAAGAAAAACAATTTATTCATTCTAGAAGAGACAGTGTCAAGCAAGAAATGGCCCAATGATTAAACTAAGACAAGCTGAGGATCTTGGAAATCAACTCTATTTTCTAAATTCTCTTTTCCCATAAGCCTTCTATTTTAAAATCTGAAAGGAGCTGGCTAAAATCTATCCATGATGCAAGTCAGAACTGTATCATGTGACAGGGGTGCAGCAGCAACAAGAAAAGGCCCAATTACTGAATTTTTATAACAAAGCCTAATAATTTTGCTAAGGAATAAAAAAATGTAAGAAGATTTTACAGTTCATGTTCAGAATAGTTAAACAGAGGGAAGTTAGATTTACCGTGTATTTTACTAAGTAACTGTAAATGGTTTTTTAAGCAGGTGATGACTACTCATGACAGCAGTGTAAGATGCCTGGGGGTTACCTTAGCAATGCGGATGCCATTGATCCACTGGTGTAGAGTTCTTACATCATCACAGCAAAGGTATTTGATATACTGCGACTTCTTCTGGATCTGAGGATGCTGCAAAAAATTGTGCACTCTCATCAATGTTTTCATAGCTAGGAATGCAAGGAAAGAATTTATTTGTTGAGGTCCATATAGATAAACCTAATGCTGGAAGCTCTTCAACAGTAGTCTGTATTTAAGCCCACTTAAAAATGTTCCAGAATATTTCTGGAGGTGAGTTTCAATGGGGATTGCTTCACAAACACACACTTGGCAGTGTGTCCAGCACGTACTGATTTCAAGTTTGAAACACTAAGAAAGGGCAAGTCTTTCACTATTTTAGGGCTGTAGTCCTTTCTAGCCACCAAGAGTCTTCAATACCTATGGACTGACTCACCATAGTCAGTTGACAGAGACAACTGATATTTCACCTTTCTCTCACATAAAAATCCCCCAAACTAGAGGAAAACAAACACACTGGTGGCCTTCTCTGCCTTTGCAGGCTCAAGTGAGACACTCCCCAAGTGGCATGCTGTTAAGCACAATTCCATACTCAGCTTGTAGAACCTTCAAGACTCTCACCCTACTGATACAGAGCTATCATCTAAAAATACTTGCTGCTCCCACATGCATGTATAAAAAATATAAAGGCACTGTATTTATCAATTCAGCAGTCAAGAAGCAAACTCATGTTTTTCTAAAATCAGACACTGGAAATCATTCTGGATAGACTATTCAGTTGTTTCCTGTCCATGCTGTAGAAATTACAGGTCTCTCAGCTGTTGGGGTAACTGAATACTGATAACAGTTCTTATAATTTCCTCTGTTAGCTTACAGCTCAGTGACACAACACAGTTTTGCTAGAGGACGGTAGGTATTTAAGTTTTACTGAAGACTACCTGAAACATATATCAAAGAACTTTTAAGCTTTTCCGGAATATTTTATCCTTCCAACACAATTATTTTAAAATGAACATTAAGATGTTTATGTCCATAAAGAGAATATATATAACAAATTTTCTTATGACAGTAGATAATTATTTTCATTTTTCACTACCAGCCTCCTTCACATACATGTTGTATAACAAAGAAGAGTCTACAGAAGTAAATACAATTACTTCACTAACAAGCCAGCTTCTTCCTGGACTTGTTAAAAAATTTGGTTCTATAGAAATAAAAGAACTTCTCAGAAATCTGACATTTAGGACCAAGGACTTAACTTTATATGCTAGCACACAAATGTTACATTTAACAACAGCACAGCTAACACGTAACTTGAGCATACTAAGTTTTGATATAAACAAAAGAGTGAAGGTAAAGAGAAATCCAGTCTGGATGTCAGTACAGAATTAGGCCTTCAGTTTGTATTTGCCATTCACCTATTCCAAAGGAGATACTTCTAGCTTAGTGAGCCTCTGTGGCACAAAACTCCCTTTCTATTGAAAAAACTATATGGTTTCTATACATTTGTACCAACTGAAAACATTGATGTAACATTATAAGAACCGATGAAGGCAGAACTGAACCCTGCTTAATACAATAATTTGGTGACTCATCAGCTCCACACAAAATACAGCTTCACTTGGTGTAAGTGACCCAACTAAATCTACCCCATTAATTTACTTAGGGACAACTTCTACACATTTTTGTGTCTTCATTAATGTTACCATTAAGTTTTATGCTCAGAACGGCAATAATTTTTTTTTTTAAATCTACTTTGTGTGGTCAAAAAGCCTGAAAAAATAATATACTATTAACCTGTCCAAATGATACAGACAGACGTGGCACGTAAGTAGAAAAAAATCAATTTACTTCAAGGAATTGATACATACCTACGAATACTGACATTTTTGTTTGCATTCAATGACCTATAAGAACATGGAAAAATGTTTCTAGTTTCAGCTGTATGTTCTCCACTAATATCATGTCCCATATTTAATATTCAGTGTCTCCTCAGTGGGTTCACAGACATGTTGTCCTGTCCACTGGAAAAATGAAATCCTTTTTCAGGCAGTGGAAAGGCAGCCACACACTCCAGGCACAGTAAATGGTCTAATGCACTGACACGTAACTCCAGAGCAGGGAGGGGAAAAGTGCAACTATAACCATCACTTGTTACTGTCACCATTTCAAATCCATGCAGACATGTTACTTGCTGTGAACACAGTGTGAAAGCCTGCTCTAAAATAGCTTGGTACCCAGCTATCTTGCAAGAACTGACACCATTCTGAACGCTATGTGGGAGTCAACAGAAACTAGGAGATGTATTGATGCAATCAAAATAACTTGATGCTCTCAAGTCATTAGATCTGTTTAAGATCAGGTCACTGGTTTTATAACAGTTTTTGCTACTCGTTCTTTCTATCTGTCCTTTATACTCAGAAGATGCCTTTAACAGCATCCCTTTTCCCTCAGGTTGGTCTACAAAGGCTAGACTTGAATATTTAATATCAATTTCTGCACTACTCCGGACCTACACTGAGAAGATAACTCTCTGGATTTAGCATTTCAAGGGGTATTATCTCTTTGAACCTAAACAGTTGTAGGGTAGAGAGTTGCCAAGTGGAAAAGAAGACTTTAGTGTATGTTTTAGAGTATAATGAACAATTAAATAGACTGGCACTCATCAGTCTGGAAATAAAACAATTCAGGGCAATATGAAAAGGTTAATGAAGTCATGACCAGCACAGTGAACAGGCAACAACTGTTCACTAACTGTTGACATTGTATACAAGAACTAGAGGAAAATGAAATGAAAAGCAGCTGCTGGTTCAGAACAAGAAAGAATGTATTCAAGGTGTAGGCAACTGCTGCAGTGTTACCTTTAGCACTAAACAATAGTCTGTGGGTGCCTTGTACTTGTTCCGATAGTCCTGCCCATAGTAAACACTGACATGGTCTAGCTGTAGAAAGCACACAAGATCCCGTGAGACCTAGGAAATACAAAAACGGTCATTTACAAAGTATCCTTATAAAAATCCACACACATTGACACAATCAGTCTAATGCTATGATCCAATACTAATATAAGGTCTAGTTAAGGTCAAATATTAGTTTCAATTTGATTCAAAAACTGCCAGCACAAGAAGGAGATATAGCTATGCATAAACTCTTTCATCACACCTTCATTTTTAACTGAATTCAGTCTGGTTTTTGTGTTTTGTCTTCATTTTGCATTTTGACAACATTTTACACTGAACTACTAATGTTTACTCCGAGCAGGTGTCAGGAGAAAGTATGACTGGTTGATCAAGAAGTTATCAGCTGCTGGTTACATTTCACCTTGGTAATAATCAAGGTGTCCAAATTCCAGTGTGACTGAGTAGAATTCTAAAGATGTTTAGCCGTGAGTGTAAGGCAAAGAATTTCAACAGGCTACTTACATACAGATTGTTTTAATGAAGCAAAACATTATGGAAAGAACATCTGACATGCATTCAGCTCTAAAAGGAGCTGTTGTGCTGATAGACATTTCCTCTTTTTTCCCAAATGTATGGGAGGTGGACTTCCTGTACTGGGAATCATCTGATGCTGTCAAGACTGATGATGGATGACTTGAACTCACAGTGGTTCAGCCTTGAAGCTGTATTGTATTTGTAGTGGCATTCTACTTATTTTACATTACTGATACAGAGAACATCAGTAAGTGATCCTGAAGAAATGGAATTACATTTACCAGATTCGAAAAATGTAGCTCCAATTGGTTCAAAAAGAATCCCATTTATATGAACTAACTAAACATAATGAAGTTATGCAGACTGATTGTGGAGCTGGTCTGATACTTCATGATTGACATTCCCAGAGTGATCTGGTCCTCCATCTGAATTCTGCTTGAACAAAGACCAGCTTCTTAGCACCACCAAAAGCTTTTCCTCAAGTATTTCAGAACACTTAACCCTAAGCTAACTCAAGAAGCAGATCCCTGTGTTCTTGTATTTTTAAGCTGGTGTTACACCCTTCAAGTGCTGCCACAAAAATTCACACAAGATTTCCATGATAAAGCCAGCCTTTTAATTAAGGGATGTAGCACTTGGAAAGGCACAGCTAAGCCTCAACTTAAAGCCAACTCTTGTGTGCACTGCTTACCAGCAATAAACAATTCAGAGCAATTGCTTTAAGTAGCATACCTTTGCCTTCCCTTTAGGGACATAGTAGATTCCAGAAGCCCGAAGAAGGAAGTAACGTTTCTTCCAAGATTTCTTACCATCTTCTTTTAGCCACAAAACTCCCTCAATCTCTGGCACAGTTACAGAACTTCCACAGAAGCATTCCTGCCAATAAACACAGTGGTTTGGGAAACAGGCAGAACAGAGAGCATGCAGTGTTTTGTTTTGAATGACTGAAATTCTTTATCCAAGGAATGCACTCGTAGCAGGGACAGCTCTTTTTTCACATGAGATATGAGCTGCAGACTAATCTTAGAAGCAATAAGGTAATTCAGACAAACACGATGGGGAGGCTGAGCATTTGCTCAGTGCAACGACAAAAAAATCATTAGCAGCTACTGTAAAGATTTTCTAACCACTGCTGCTCAGCAATAGATCCCCCAATGCCTTTACTGGCTTTAAGGTCACAAGCTCACTCTATATAGCCTCCTATGTATAAACACACACAAACCTACTGTGCATCCATCAGATACAGCTGCCATTCATTCCAGAAGTGCTTCGCTGCTACTAACTGCCCACAACACTGCAACTTCTGCTAAGGTTCTATTTATAAAGAACTAGCAGAGAAAACCAAATGCTTTAAATATACTCCAGATTAATATGCAGCACAGAGATTTATGAATAATCCTAGAAGACAGAAAGAATTGAGCTGAATTACAATTCTCTGCATGTTATGGCTTCAAACAATTTTTTCATCCATACAAGCACTTACTAAAACCCTTATTAACAATATACTAATAACATGCATATGCTACTTTTAAGTTAAACTGCTTTAATTTTAATCCAAAATTAAATACCCCAAATATTTACCTTTGGGTGACTACGTAAATAATAATCATTATTCTGGAAATCAAGTGGAACCTATGGCACTTCAGCCATGTCATAAAAATGTTTTTTCAGCTTATGAAGGCTATAATTTACTGTTTGCTTTATTTGCTCCACACTTTTATGCCCTTATTTTTGTCAGATGGTTAATGTGTTTGATAATAATCAGTTTTCTGTCATGCATTTCTCAAAATTCAATATTTGGGTTTTTTTTAAATTTTGAAATGTAATTGAAAAAAATTATTTACTACTTTGCTTATTACCAAAATTGGAAATATTAACTTAGACCAGTCTCCAGACCCATGCTCTAGAATTCTGTCAACATAAAAATTTGGAAAGTGCTAGTAAAAATTCTCTACCACCACAGGTCAAAAAACACGTGACAGTTCTGCAAACTTCAACTTAAAATTAGTGGTTTTAGCCACAGCTACAGGCAACCTCAATTTGATTATCACTGTGTATGATATTTTAGATACTGAACTAAATACTAAACTTTTTTTTAACTGATCAATCTGAAACAGTGTTACATTAAAACAGCCATTTATCTCAAATATAACATATTCCATTCAGTCTTCCAGAATTATGTTCAGCTCTGTCCATCAATTTCAATCAACACAACCTTTTGCAGTTTGTCTTCAAGCTCCAAATTGACCTCTGTATCCTTTTTGGTTTGACATTCTTACCTCTAGCAGCACCTCTTTATTTCTGTCTGCCATCTCAGAGGTTTCTTTCTTCCCCAGAAGATAGTTCTATAACAAAAGAAAGTTTAATATTTCTGTAGGCATTCTGAAATCAAGCCAAATGGCATTTCTTGTTTGCTCTTCTGTAGCAGTATGAACAAAACTTTGCAGACTAAATGAAACTGTCAGATTGCTAAATAATACATTGAAGTAACTTATAATCACCTTTACCAGAAATGTCAATCAGTCCACACTCTTACCTAACAACCTCATAACAACATCATCCTGCCTTTCCACAGATCAAAATCTCTGTTACAATGCATCCAGAAATAAAAATACTATGAACTTGTAAATACCACAATAAAAATATAAAAATCTCCCAGAGATCTGTTACTGTCATTATTTCTTAAAAGGAACTTAATTATGCACAGCACTATATCTTATTAAATAAGTTTTTTACTCTTATTCAGTTTGGAAAAGATTGGGACAATGAAAAACATTTTCCTAACCCCTAGCTCTAATACTGGAAAAAACCCAAATATTCACAAAGTTTTGTCAGTTCAATATTTTACATCAACGAGAAATATTTGGTTTATGCTGGTACATCAGTGCCTACTATATGTAATGATAGTAAACCTATAATCTACAAACTTCTAAAAAGAATGTAGAGTTTTGGTGCTTCAATGCAAAGCACTTGCATAAGGCTTGGTTTTTAGATCTTGCTTAAAAATAAATAAAATCAAGTAAACTGATGTCCCATAGAATGAACACGGAAAACGGATACCCTGTTTAAATCCAAAACATTTGCAGCAGAT